ATATATAATTTTATATATATATATATATATATATATATACGCATTTCTGCATTTCTTTATTTAATTATTTCATTATGTATTTAACGATTTATTTATATATTTCAACAATTATTTAATTTTGAGTAATTTGGCCCTCCATATAAAAAGTTATTATATAATAATGATAAAATATAGGCCTATAACAGTTAAAAAAGTAAAAACAAACTGATGCACATTCTTTATGCATCATTTTGATGGGAAGTTCGCATCAATAAATAAATAAATCCACAAAATGATGCATCATCACACTATCTTTTTCTTTTGTTCTTTGATTTACATCAATGACAGACTTCAGCAGGTTTTACTTTAAAAGCAGTGCTGTCTCTTTAAAATCTGATGCACATGAATGCGGATCTGACACATTTCCTATTTTCTCCAAACTCTTTACTGTCATTTAAGACTTTATAACTCCTTTAAAAGACTACGTTTACGAGGTAACTCGCCAAACCCGTGAATTTTGACATAATTGTGTGTGTTTTCGTCCGTTGAAGTGCTACTGGTGCGCTGGCAATGTTATAACTTGGCTCAATACATTTCAGATGGTATTGTATCAGAAAAAAAGCTGATAAATAAGAACTAAAACTGCAAAAGGACCAATGCATATACGTGGATAGAAAGAGTAAAAACTACCAGAATGTGCATGTTGTGTGTGTATGCAATTTGGAAATAAATCCCAAGAGATACAGAAAGCGCAATATATTTTTATTGAATTTATTGTCATGAAGTTTTACGCAGGTTTTTTTGTATAGATATAATATTGGAGTTTAGCAGTGCCAACATATAAACACCCATTTTCTTTTCTTTTTTCTCTCTCATTATCTCTTTAACATTGAATTAATTCCTGATTTTTTTTCATTGTAACATATAAAAGACAACAAAAAAACTACAGTCCGACAACAAGATTCCTGTGCCCATCAATATTAATTACAGGTAATACTTTTAAGGACCTGCCTTGACTGTGTGTTTTCTTTTCTTTTCCTAACAACAGAAAACGAGAATAATAAATTCTTGACTAAATGTACAATTGTTAATATCCATGGGCACAAGGACCACCTTGAACAGAAGGCAAAGGGGACTGCATATAGTGCTGCAAGACTGGCCAGTTGTTCCTGTAGATCTTCTTGCTTGGTTGCTAACTAATAAACTCTCTCCCCTTTGCTCTGTGGAGATTTGAAAAACTTTGAATGTTTTTGTCCACAAGAACCAAAGCAACACCAATCTCTGATGGGTATTAGGAATGTAGACAAGGATCCTCAGAACTAAAACAAAAAATATAAAAACAGTCAAATAAAAAAAAAAAGACATTTTCCACTCATTTAAACATGTGATATAAATGCAACATCTCAATCATACATTCTTAAGGAATTCCTCTGCGACAATTCGGGCCCGAGCGTTGACTGACAGCTTCATCTCGCTGATCTCCTTGTCGATCTCCTCCATGAAATGGATAACAAAGTCCACCAGCTTGTGTTTGTACATCTGTTCTGTGTGGAAGTTGGTAATGAGGAAGCTGATGTCATAGCCCTGAAAAGCACAAATGAGGAAATGAGAAAAAAAACATGTTAATCTTGTTAACAGTTTAGATCAGGGGTGTCCAACCCTGCTCCTGCAGACTTTAGTTCCAACCCTGCTCTGGCACACCTGTCTGTAATTATCAAGCAACCCGGAACACCTTGATTAGCTGGTTCAGGTGTGTTTGATTGGGGTTAGAGCTGAAATCTGCAGGATGGTAGCTCTCCAAGAGCAGGGTTGGCCACCCCTGGTTTAGATGCTTCACATGCACAACATCATTCAGCTATGCATTTCAAGTCGTAAGATTTATCCCACATAAACATGCATTTTTTTCTCTTACTCCTACATAACTCCACCAAAAAAATGTGACATGCATGCTAGCGATGGGTGCTTTCGAAAACCTTTGAAACTTTTGCAAATCATTTTTTTGATTTGAACAAGTGAAGCATGCACCGAACTGCCAAAGTCGCATGATTTCAGTAAATGAGGTTTTGTTACATCATGACTGTAATTTTAGAAATTAACAGACATTCTAATGACACCTTTTTACAATAAAAAGGAAGAGTTGTAGTGATCAGTCTCCAATTAGCCTAATTAACCAAGCTCTCAATAAAACAAACAAAACAAGCACTACAAATGAATAAAATAACACATTACATAGACCCTTATTATTTAATGGTATTAGATTATTTGTTAATTGTATTTAGTTGATTACACTTTTAATAAAACATTTGTATTTGGTTCGTAAAAGGTCTTCTTATGCATGTTTTGGCTGTGTTTTCATTGGCATTTACACGATTCTGACCAGCGTGTGGCGTTTCAAATGTGAATCATTTCGCAAAGCAATTGGTTCAGTTGATTTACAGTTTCGAAAAACTTTGTTTCTCCCATCACTAATGCATGCTTGTTTTAATGAATCACATATTTCTTCATCCCTTGTTTGTTCTTCACAAAGGAGCCCACCTCAACAGGTTTCCTCCGAAGGATGAAGAAGTTCTCTGCTCGCATCATCATGAACCTCATAAATTTATGGCACAGGATCTTCTCAATCTCATCAGCCTAAGAAAACCATTAATATCTTTAGAAGATGACAGAATGAAAAACACATCGATCTTGTGCAGCTCATCTTGAATTGCTTACCTGTTTGACAGCGATGCTGACCCTCACTGAGTTTATGGACCCCTCAATCAGGACTTTCTCCTTCTCATTGCGGCTTATGACCACAGGCTGCAACAGAAGCTCTTTGCTGCTCCTGTATTGAAAGACAAACATTGATCATATATGTATATATCTATTAAAATACATCATATATAACACATACGAAGGATGTGATTTCCTCACCTAACTTCCACCTCAGGCTTGTTGTGTCTCTCCACCACCTGAGAGGAGAAGTTCTCCAGACACAGGGCTGCTTGAAGAGTGGCGCGCACCGCATTCAGGTAGGGTCGCAATGTTGCCGTCTACATACAAAAAAGGAGAACATTTAATTAAGTAACTCTTCTTTCTATAAGCTAACAGCCCATATAATAACCAGTCAGTGGGTGGAAGAGCAGCGTTGTATTTGGCCATTCCATTAGGTGAAGTGTCAATCAACCGCCTGAATGTCACTTATTGACAACTACTGGCTGTTTTAAATGAATTAAACACGTGCCAGTTATTAAACATTGTATATGTGCAGTGTAATGTGCATTTAATGTTTTCAATCTGCCGAAAATAGGTTTTGCCTGTAAAATCACTGACGTTAGCCAGCTAGCATAAATCAAGACAGACTAACATCACTCGATCAAACAAAGCAAAAAACACTGCGGTGACCGCATGCAAAATGGTTTACGCTAAGGCTGTTTATTGAGTCATTTGATTGCTTGCACTATAATAAAAAACAATCTAAGGAACTTTAAGAAATGTAAATCTCTTACCATTTTATATGAGGTCTGTGGAGGAAGACGGAAGTCCGCACGCCTCGCCTGGAAATGAGAAAACACGCCTCCATTGCGTTCTCACTTTCCCGTAATACACCGATTAGAAGTGCATTATTGTTAATCGTGGGATCATGATTTAAATGTATACGAGTAAATGATAGATAATTAAATATATTTTCATACATAAACAAGTTCTTATGTTTCTATTTTAAACACGTAAACTGAGAGAAATAGATATAAACACTAAAACGACCGTTATCATTTCACATCTATTCTTATATTTACGGTCAAGCCCAGTAGCAATCTTACCTTTATTCGCTTTTTCTTCCTTATATGGCAAATAACACGATAGGTCAGATATACACAGTAGTCAAAAATGATATGGTCTAAAAATATCACTGTGTTCAAATAAACCTGAGCTCTTTTGTGGTTTTAAACAGCGCACGAGTCTCTACAAAGTAATAATCTTCGATTATACTGTTTGGACCTTTTTACAGTCTGTGGTTTGGTTTGGACGCGCTTCAGTCAGGAATGTACCATTCTATACGCTGCTATGTTATGTTGTGGATGTTAACTGCCGAGAGGGGGTATTTATCTGATACTGAAAAATAAGTTTGCAAATAGTACATAAATATTGGTCAAACTTTTTTTGTTTTTAAACGTAGGTTTATCATACTAAAGCCACGTTCGTGTTATTAAAACTTAATCGGCGAGTTGTCTCCCCCGTGTTGAGATAATGGTTTAGTCAGTAATGGATGCCCCTTCATCGGAGGTAAACAATAATATTTTATGAATAAATGCCTTGTATGGACTCAGTTAGCGTTTTGTTTGGTGTTTTAACATATTGTTTAATTGGCGACATACGTCTTTTCATTGCAAGTAATATACATATTTATTGATAAAGTGTAACAATCGGTTGTCTGTGGTTTGAACAGCATGCAGCCGAATTAGCAAGTAGCTGTTAGCTTAAAGTGGCTGCTCATTATCACACACTGGTATCATATATAGGCGTCAGTATTACATAACAGAGTGAAAGAAATTACAGGGATGCAATGCATAAAAGATTTAAGTTGTCACCTATAAAATCTTATAAATAACATCTACTTCCATCTCTTCTGGGATTGCTTGCATTATCTCAACTGTTTACTTGCAATCATGCTTTTACCACATGACCACACAACCCTGACCTTTTTTAATATTGTGTGTGTTTTTTTTTTTCAGATATAGGTTCCTGTTCATGAGAGGATGAGTGAACTCAAGGACTGTCCCCCTCTGAAGTACTATGACTTCAAACCTGTGGACCATGTGAAAGTGTGTCCACGCTACACAGCAGTACTCAGCCGCTCAGAAGACGATGGCATTGGCATTGAAGAGCTGGACACACTTCAGCTGGAGCTGGAAACACTCCTGTCCTCTGCCAGTCGACGTCTCCGAGCGCTGGAAGAACAGAGACAGGTGAACAGTGTTTTGCTATTTGTCGTTCTCCCACTTACTGCCTAAAGTGTCTAAAGTGATTTATGTTTACTCTCTGAAACAGATCCTTACAGACTGGCAGGACAAAAAAGGGGACAAAAGGTTTCTGAAATTAGGGAAGGATCCAGATCTCGCAGCCTCTTCTCGTCATTCCAAGCCCAAAAAACAGAAGCTTGATGGAAAGGGAAGTCATGGTCCCGGACCTGGGCCAGGTAGACCGAAGTCTAAGAACATACAGACCAAGGTCCAAGACTTTGAATTTGAAGTCGACCCCCAAGATATACCCCGCAACCCTAAAAATGATGCTCCCAACAGGTTTGTTGAAACTGAGATGCATAATGTATATTTATTGAAATAACCAGATATAAGATACAGATCAGGTTTTGCCATCATGTCCCCTACAGAAACCCTAGATATTACATTTTTTCCATTTCATGCTTTATTGATTCCAGAGGAGACATATTAAGTTGAGTACTCACTCAAAGATTTTTATTTAAATACAGATCAAATATTATTTAAACGGATAAAAGCCTTACATTTTATTCAGCAATTAAAAGCATTAAAATGATAAAAATTGAGAGTAAAGACAAAAATGTACACACGATGTCTCTTTTTTAAAATAAATGCTTTTAAACTTCCTATTTTACCAAACAAATATATCTTGTTTTCCACGAAAATATGAATAAATGTAACATAAAAATATGAATATTATTAAATATTACTACTTAAAAACATAACAATACTATTAAATATAAGAAGCACAGCTGTTTTCAACATTGATAATAATAATAAATGGATAATGTGGCACTAAAGACTGAAGTAATGGCTGATAAAATTCAGGAATAAATTACATTTTAAAATACAGGTGCATCTCAAAAAAATTAGAATATCGTGAATAAGTTCTCTTTTTTTTTTAACTTATTTCAAAAAGTGAAGATTCATTACATGTAAAGTAAAACATTAAAAAAAAATTTGTTTTAATTTTGATAATTAGAGCTTACAGCTCACTTATATTCAGTTATAAAAAAGTTATTGTAATACTGTAAAATTGTAATATTTCACAGTATTATGATACCTTATACCATTTTTACTGTATTTTTGATCAAATAAATAAAGTTTTGTTGAGACTTCTTCTTTCAAAAACATTTAAAAAATCTTACCGACCCCAAACGTTGATGAATGATAGTGTATTTAGTCATTTGTGGTTATATATGTGTGTAAAACAGATTCTGGGCCTCGGTGGAGCCTTACTGTGCAGACATCACAAATGAAGAGATCAGAGTTCTGGAAGAGCTGCTCAAACCACCTGATGATGAAGCAGAATACTACAAGGTAAAGATCTTTTAGAAACCAGTTCCTGCACTACATTACTGCATCTTTCCTTTCCTTTAACTGATTCTGTATTCAGGGAAATGCATGTTATATGGCTTTTGTGTTGGTTGTTCACATCTGAGCACTCACTGTTGGCTTTCTTTGCAAGATCCCAGCCCTCGGAAAGCACTATTCCCAACGCTGGGCTCAAGAGGACCTGTTGGAGGAGCAAAGAGAGGGGGCGAGAGCCAGTGACAAGAAAAAAAGCATGATGGGTCCTCTTTCCGAACTGGATGCTAAAGGTAATGGTGTGATTTAAGATGAGATTCCAGTTGCAACATTGTCATTTTTTGTTGCGTCTAGCCTTAAATCTGTTGCTTTTATCTTCTACTATTCTGGTTTGTGCAGATGTAGATGCCTTACTGAAGAAATCGGAGTCTCAGCATGAACCTCCAGAGGACGGCTGTCCTTTTGGCCCTCTTACTCAGCGGCTTCTACAAGCACTTGTTGAGGTCAGTGACTCATCATGTGCTAAAATAAGTACTTATGTTGTGCAATATTTAGTCAGCTCAGCTTATGTTTTAGTCATATCCTTTTTCAAATATGTAGGAAAACATCATATCCCCTATGGAGGATTCCCCCATTCCAGACATTCCAGGGAAGGATGATGGGGCTGGTACATCGCCTCGTAGCCAGGGTAAAGCCTTCAGGTAAAGGTTTTATTTTATGATTTAGTCAGTTAGTGATGTTTACATGTTTATTTAGACTACCATTCAAAAGTTTGGGTTGGTAAGATTTTTGTTTTTATGTTTTTGAAATACGTGTCTTCTGCTCTCCAAGTCTGCATTTATTTGATCTACAAATACAATAAAAAAATGGTAATGTTGTGAAATGTTACTTCGATTTAAAATAAATTTTCAATTTTAATATGTTTGAAAATTTCATTTATTTCTGTGATGGCAAAGCTGAATATTCAGCATCATTATTACTCTAGTCTTCATTGTCACATGATCCTTCAGAAATCATTCTAATAAGCTGATTTAATGCTCAAAAACAGTTGTGCTAAGAAAATTATTAAAAAAAAATGTTTTAAGTAGTCTTAAATTAATATAAAGTATAATATTACAGCATTTATTTGAAATATAAATATTTTGTAAACATTACAAATCGTTACTGTCACTTTTGATCATTTCATTTAATTTATTTTATTTAGTCATTTAAATTAAAATAGAATAGAAAGTGCTATAGTTAGAGGGTCAAATAAAGGTGTATTTTAGTGTATTCTTTCTAAATAAGTAGCACCAGCAGTACTTTCACATTCAGGTGGATGTTTTTGGCACTGTTTTCTTTGAAGATGACATGTCAAGTTAAAATTACTCTGTTTGAGCACTTTATTTTGTTGTGCTTTGTCAAACTGTATTCCAATACAACGCATCTTATGAAAGCAGTCTAATCATTTAGGGGCAATTAAGACTGATTAGTTAACTAGCTGTTCAGGCAACCACCAGCTAGTTGATTTTGAAAATAGTATTTTTTCCCCCATTGACTTCACTTTTTAGCTAAATTGGCAATCTTCATTCTCTCTATCTTTTACTCTTTATAGTCAACATGAATCAGCACTCCCAACTCATTTTACTTCTATAATGTGATGCATTTTTGAGTGAAACTGAGTATTCACTAAGGGGAAACACATGTATTTTATCCATCAGGATTGAATGGTGACAAGTAGACCAGAATATAGGAAAACTAGATATTTGGCTATTGGTGAACATTATTCAATAGCCTATATTGCCTGGGTGACATCGTCCATAAAGGAAAGTGAAAGTGAAACAAAAGCATTTTGATGAAAGATTATTTCAATACTTTTTCTTTAAAATAGTAATGGTGTACATGAATAAAGAGGTAATTTTCTCGTGTTCTGTTGCTCCCAGTGTGCCTCACACACGCTCTCTGGAGGCTCGTATAAGAGAGGAGCTGGTGTCTCAGGGGCTGCTGGACTCTGATGAGAGGCAAGGTGTCGGAGGAGAGTCTGAAGACGAGGTGCTGGCCGAGCTGCAGAAAAGACAGGCTGAACTCAAAGCGCTAACCGCACACAACCGCTCGCGCAAGCAGGAGCTGCTCAAGTGAGTCTCAGCCAAAGAGCCTCAGATCCAGATCAAAACTGCTGTCAGCACAAGATGAAGACTAGCTGGTGAAAATAAGCCTGTAATCTTTCAAAGAGTTAGAGGGAGCAGTCTGATGTGACAAGTTATGATTTTCTTTCTATAGTTTTACTTAGATGACTACTTAGAGAGCTCGCTGTATTGAAGCAGTCAAGTGTGTATTTTTAGATATATCTTTTGGTACAGTATTTTTTTTTTCCATATACTTTGTGAAATACCAGGATTAATGTGAGATTAGGAAAGTCACCTTTTACTTTTCACCCTGTTCTTGCAGGTTGGCACGGGAAGAAATGCGAAAACAGGAGCTTCGACAGCGGGTTCGAGTGGCTGATAACGAGGTTATGGAGGCATTCCGTCGCATCATGGCAGCCAGGCAAAAGAAACGCACTCCAACGAAAAAAGAGAAAGATCAGGCTTGGAAAGCTTTGAAAGAGAGAGAAAGTATTCTCAAACTCTTAGATGGATAAATATGACCGGCAGCTATAATGTGGTGTGTTTTCTTTAATATGTTTGTTGGTTATGGACACTTCATAAAGCCAACTTCAACATTCAGACAACTTGAAGAACATGTAAACAAATATTTAATATAATGTTCATATTTTTGGTTACTCTCTATCTAAAGTAAGACCTGACGTTACTAGTTGTGATAATAAAGGTGTTTGACACTAGTTTTCAAGTGCCACTGACTTGACACTGTTGATGCCAGAATATAAATTTACTTTATTTTTTTTTGCTGCCTTTATGTACAGTTCCCAAATGCAGCTGATTAACATAGTGGATTGATATTGTTAAAGGAATAGTTCACCAAAAATGAAACACTTGTCATCATGTCGTTCACCGACTCTTCTGTGGAATATAAAAGATGGTATTTTGAAGAATGCTGGTAACCAAACAGTTGTGGGCACCATTAACCCATTGCGTGGACAAAAACAGACATTTCTTCTTTTATGTTTCAAGCAAGAAATAAAAATCATACAGAAACAACATAAGGGTGAAAAAAAGACAACATTTTAATTTTTGGGTGAACTGTTCCTTGAAAGCTGTTGTCATAGCGTTGATAGTATTTTGTTACTACACGGCAGGAACACGGTCATTTTGAGTTTTTATATGATTAAAAGAAAATAAAGCTTTTTATAAAGGTATTGTACATGGAAATATTGGGTTTGTAAATTCATATATGCTGTCGTTTATTTCAGTCCATGTTGAATTTAGTTCGTTGTATTTTGTAAACAACTTATATCACATCGCGGTTGCATGTATGTGTTTGAAAATAAAAACGATTTTTTTTTTTTTAATTACTGGATTAGTGTTTCTATCACCGTTTTTCTAGTTTGTATGCAAAACTTTGATTTGAATTGTTATGACAGGTTGAGGGCGCCATTCCGTGTGTTTACACCATAGACTATAAAAAAAAACAGGTTTACACACTTGTTCAGTGAGTGAACAGTATCATCGTTGCTCTCTGCTCTTTCTTACATCTTTTACCTCAGAAAAAGGACTTGTTGCGCTGGTGAGAATGTCCTTTACGACTTTGTTGTTCGTAGTATGTATTATCTGTTAGTGCATCTGTATCGTGTTTGCCAGTTTCTGAAGACGCAATCTCTGGGTGTGCAGAAACCGTTGCATGCAACTGTAGCAGTCCAGCCGCTTCACCTCCTGAAAAATAAGCTTTGAGGTGAAGTTTTGAGGTAAAATTAAACGGCGTGCAGCCTCTTACGAAGTTAAAGCGATGAAACTGATGTTGCTCAAGTTTGAACGACCCGACAGCTACAATTCCGCGAAAGAATCGTTCATGTGAGTCGGTTCTTCTTGATGAAATGGTAGAACGATTCATGAGGTGGACTGTCGGAGCGGTTGTCGAGTCAACTGAGAACCATCTTCGCACATGCTCGATTTCTAATAAACTGAGAACTGTTTGGCAACCAAGAATTATAAGAAAAGTAAGGAACTTTCATAGCCAAGACATTAGACAATTTCCTTGAACGTCAGAAACCGCGCGATGACGTTTTACGTAATGACACAAAAGAATCACTGAATCGCTTTTTCGAACCGTTTGAAAGAACCGATTGGCAGAACTACACCAGTGCATTTAGAAAGTGCTTTGATGGCTTTATGTTGCGATAAATAAATGTTTTTATGGCAACATTTTGAACAGTGAACACAACCAAAGCTAACCATGAAAAAAAAAACTAAGATAAACATAAGAATATTAATAAAAAAAAAAAGAAAGTGTACAGATTTGTATATCAGCATCTTTATGCAAATAACATAAATGTTGTGAATTGTAAATAAACCAACTAAAAGAGATGGCTTTTGCGTAATGTACAGTAATTTTGCTTTGTTATTTCTGGTTAATTCTAAATAATAAAGGTAAGTGACCTATTTCTATTTTAAAATAAGTAGAAGTATTTTTTTTTGTGATGCCCATTTACATTTGTGAATAAAGAATTTAGTAAATATAAATAAATGTACCATATTGAAAATTCAACATAATTATAGAAAAACATTTGCTATACAAATAAACGTAAATTCCAGTGTTTGTGTTTAGCAGAAAATGCGAAATCAAAGCAAGATAATTCATTTAAAGCATTAAGTAAATGCATTGTCTAATTTGTGGTGACGTCACGCAGGTTTGGCATGTGCCAGAATGTGCGGGAGAACGGCTTGCACTCTTGCGCCGAATGAGCTCAGTCGTGCGGCTCGCTATCAAGACAGGACGGGACAACCACACAGGCCCCGATGGAAGGACAGAGACACTGACAAATACCGGCCCTCATACAACAAGAGTCCTCAGTCCTTCAGCCCTGTACTGCTGTCCAACAGACACTTCAACAAGGCATGCCAAAATATATGTGCACAACATTTGTCCCTGAAGAACAGCTGTTTAATGAAGTGCTTTCCATAGGATGCCCCGGTAGATGAGTGTGTGTTGGCAGCGATGCGCTGGGGTCTCGTCCCGGCGTGGTTCAGAGAGAATGACCCCAGTAAAATGCAGTACAACACCTCTAACTGTCGCAGTGAGAGCCTGCTAGAAAAGAAGTCTTTCAAGGTACATAAGACACCCTCATTCATTCCACATGAGCAGTGAAATGCGTAGCCCCGCCCACAGTGAAATCTCATTGGTCCAAAGTTCAGCTCAACATAATAGAGTGCAACAGGATGTAAAATTCTCATTCATTTTTGTTCCACTGGGAATTTGGTTTTTAATTTATAAACTTATAAACCACTGAAGACAGACCTTTATGTTATATACTTTCATTGATGCCATCGACCTGCATTATTTCAACATTTTTTTTTTAATTTTTTTAAATAATGATGTTTAATAGCAGAATTACTGGTGAAAAACTAAATTACCCATGATCCTGCAGACATCCTACGGAGAGAACAAAAAAGGAAAAATTTTTAGCAGCCTCTCCCTCCTATGAAGCACTGCGGATGATGTTTCACTACTTGTAATTAAATGCATATTTTCCAATAAACATTATATATATATTAAAAATTATGTATAGAAAATTGAATCAGAAAAAACACTTGTGAAAAAAGGCTCTGTAGCACTCTACTATGTATTAAACATCAAGTATATTCTAATATTCTGTGGACAGACATATGACTTGTTGCTGAAATCTTATTGTACAGGACCCTCTTCTGAAAGGACAGCGCTGTGTCATTCTAGCCAATGGCTTCTATGAATGGAGGCAAACGGAGAAAGAGAAACAGCCTTTCTTTATTTACTTCCCTCAAAGCCAAGGAGGTCAAGTGCCTAGTCAACAGAATGCACAGAAAACAAAAAGTGACCAAAGTTTGGACCAAGGAGAGGTTAGCCCAAGTCTGACAGTCGTAAGAAGTACATTTGTTAACTTATGCCTGGCCTTACTCGTCTGTTTATTCCTCCACTTGTCTATAGAGTGATCAGGACGACAGTGACTGGACAGGGTGGCGTCTGCTGACAATAGCGGGGCTCTTTGACTCCTGGACTCCTCCTTGTGGTGGAGAGACATTGTATACTTACACTGTTATTACTGTAGACTCCTCTCCAAACCTTCAAAGCATCCACGACAGGTTGAGTGCATAAATATGATTAATGGCGTTTTCACAGGTGGTGGAGAGACATTGTATACTTACACTGTTATTACTGTAGACTCCTCTCCAAACCTTCAAAGCATCCACGACAGGTTGAGTGCATAAATATGATTCATGGCGTTTTCACAGTCATACAACTTTTGTACTGAGTCAAATGAAGCTTGAGTTAATGTGTTGTGTAACAGGATGCCGGCTGTGCTGGACGGAGAGGATGAGGTAAGACGGTGGTTGGACTTTGGAGAAGTGAAGTCACTGGAAGCAATGAAATTACTGCAGCCAAAGTCCTCCTTAACCTTTCACCCCGTCTCCTCATTGGTCAACAATTCCCGCAACAACTCTCCAGTGTCTGTAGCCTGTAGACCCCACAATTAAGAAGGTGAAACGTTTGGTCATTTTTAGAAAACAAATGCACTTAAAACTATTTTTACACTAGTTTATTCATTTGTCCTCTATTATTACATTCAAAAAAAATATTGTGGCTTAAAATGACTGTTTTTCCATTTGAATATATTTTAAAATGCAATTTATTTCTGTGATGGCAAAGCTGAATTTTCTGCAGCCTTTACTCTTCTTGATTCTTTGATGAATAGTAAGTTGAAAAGAACAGCATTTATTTGGAATATAAATACTTTTTAACATTATAAATGACTTTACTGTTACTTTTGATAAATTTAATGCATCCTTGCTGAATGGATGGTAATGTGTTCATATTTTTATAATGCATTTTCATAGTTTAGGATTTATGTTCTGGGTCTGAGACAAGAATAAATTAATTACAGACATATGAAAAGATCATAAAGATCACAAACCATTATTAAAATCTTTGACATATATGAATGTGAACTTCTTGATTAGTTTAAATACTGACCTCCTGCCTTATGCCCCGTCTAGACCGTTCAACCTACAGCCAGCAGTAAAATGATGACGAGCTGGCTGAAAACTGCCTCTCCCACTAAGAGGAAGAATCCTGATGAAGACACTTCAGCTAAAGCACCTGAAGAAAAGTCTGCAGCAGAGAAGCAAACCAAGCCGGCTGGGCCTCTCCTGCAGTGGCTGCTGGGATCGGGTTCCAGAAAGAAACCAAGAACTTGAAAACAGAATCACAATGTTCTTCCGAATGACCAAAAGATTGAAAATGCACCTTGACATGCCTAAAATGTTTTGTTAAAGTAGTAGTTCACCCAAAACTGAAAAACTGCTGAAAATGTACTCACCTCAGGCCATCCAAGATGTACAGTATATGATGTTTCTTCATCAAAACAGATTTGAAAAAAATTTCGCATTACATCACTTGCTCACCAGTGGATCCTGTGCAAGTAAATGGGTGCCGTCAGAATGAGTACACCCGATAAAAACATCACAATAATCTACACAACTTAATTAAATTAATTAATCAAATAATGTCTTGTGAATTGAAAAACTGCGCGTTTGTAAGAAATAAATGAACTGTTATTGAGACATTTTAACTTCTGGCCAAAATAAGAGTCCATAATCCGTAATAAGGCTTCCTCCAGTGGAAAAAACCCACTTGTCCTCTCACGTAAAAATCCATCAGTATAATTGTTTAGAACGGATTTGGACTGTTTTTGCTTGTGACCAGTGCTTGATCTGTGCTTATTTCTCTCCTGATTCAGACGAGATGACTTTCACCAGAGAAAGCAGTATTATTCATAGAGGACTTTTATGTTATCCGGCAGCAATGGTTTGAAGTTAAAAACGTCTTGATTGGTTTTGTTTATTACAGACATGCAGCTTTTCACTTCAGAAGACTTCATTTGATGGACTGGAGACGTGTGGATTACTGTACTTGTGGATGTTTTTATCACCTGTTTGAACTCGCATTCTGACGGCACCCATTCACTGCAGAGGATCCATTGATAAGCAAGTAATGTAAGGCTACATTTTTCCAAATCTGTTCTTTCAATGAAAAACAAACTCATCTGCATCTTGGATGGCCTGAGGGTGAGTACAGTTTTGGGAATTTCTTTAAGACAGTTAACAGCTCATTTGCCAAGTATTCAGTGTGTAGTAGTATGTATTGTTCATTTTTGATGATTTTTATATGATGAAAATTAATGTAACTTATAATAGTTGATTTGTAGACACATTTCCTTCGTTCATTTCAAATAGTTCCAGTTCACTTCTTAATAACAATGTACAGCAAACACAAAATACCACAGTTTTATTCAACTTAATTTTTATTTCCATTACTTTGAAATACATTTATCTTGAACAATGTATATGCTGTGATTTTTGTTTCATTAAATGTCATGAACAATTCAGTTCTCCCCCAATGTTGTCTAGTTGTGTTTATTTGAATATAATGCAACACAGATAATAATAATAAAAATAATAATGAACAAACAGACGGGAAAAGATCCGAATGATACTGAGCACTTAAATTCTCTACCATCCTGAGCTACTGGTAGAGTCCGGGCAAGATATGAAAGAAAGACAAAAACAAAAACGACAAGAAATAGTCTACGCCACTGCTTGTTCATGGCAGACTCGCGGTGATTCGGTCATGCTCACATGAGGATTGACGATAAAAAAATACATAGAAATACTAATTGTCATAATAGTCTGAATAGTAGATAATTTAGATGTAATATCTAAATTTCCCATTGCATGGTTTGCTATTCATATTTTCCTGTTCCATTTTGAGGACAGCGATTGGGCGTACACTGGATTAACTGACTGCAGTTCTCAGATGTAACAGCGGGGGCAGTGTTAGACCTCCAGTGCTTTGGGACTTCACAAACTGAGGAGCTTTTTTTAGGTTCAAGCTTTAAGATGCAAATGTAGCATGCTTTACGCCAGGCCGCCTTATTAATTCAAGCACATTGATGAAGCAGTTGAACATGGCGGGTAGTTATGGTGCCAACGCACGGCTCTGATACACCCCCCCATCTTTCAGCGTTCACGTCAAACGTATTCCAATTGCACTGCGGGACTGGATCATAAAAAAGTCTCAAGAGCCATTCAAGTGTTGTGAAGAGTTTCAGTAGGACTTTTTACGTGGGCGAGGCGACAGCTCTGCAGAACCGGTGCGTGGTGTCGGGATTCGTGTACGAAAACGGGTGTCAGATTGAGCCTCTTGAGCATATGTGGGTGTGTGTTTGTGTCTAAGGCTGTGAATGAGAACTGTGAAGGATACTGAATGGGAGGAAGTCTGCTCGTCTACAAAGGCCAGTGATTATATCGAGTAAGGGGGAGGGAAGGAGATAAAGGAGAACAGGGGTGAAAGAAAGAACGCAAGAGAGAGAGGGAGTGAGGCAGAGACAAGGCCAGAGAAGCTGAGGGTGAAATGTTGCGCCCCCTGGAGGTCCTCAGCAGCTGCAAGTCTCTGCTGATGGCTTGGCTCTATCGTTCCGGTCTAGTTTAATTGGCTCAGGGAACTCATTGTATAACTCCACTTCGGTTTCCTACAAAATAAAAAAAATGGGTACAGATAAGTCCAAAGTATACTTTAGTTTTGACGTAAACAACTAAGCATATACATACAGCCAAATCCACAGCCTTTTAAAGTATACGCCATTTGACAGAAACATAGGCACTTGACATGTGAACTAGAAAGGTTCATCCTTGTCTCTGATTCTGTTTCTCAGAATAAACAGAATTTTGAGATATAAACTCAGAATTCAGAGAAAAAAGAATTGCATGATAGAAACTCAGAATTCTCGCAATTACGTGAAAAAGAAAATTAAAAAAAAAATCTTTTCTATTTTTTTATTCCATGGCGGGAAAAAAAACTATTGCGAAAAACACAGAATTTCAAGATGTAAACTCGCAACTGCGAGAAAAAAAAGAATTGTAAGGTAAGTCGTAAAATGTAAACTCTAAAAAAAGTTAATGAATTTTTATTCATTTGTGAGATAAATATTCACAATTACCTGAGAAATAAAGATGTTTAATATAGGCCTATGCGAATTTGCCATTGTACTATTTTATGGCTGATGTGTTTTAATCAATAGGCTAATAATGAACCACAAACTACTATCGTTTAAAAAAAAAAAAAAAGGGGGAAATCCAAAGACCGTTTATTTATTTGTGTTACAAAGCTGGTAAAACACATTTTCCTTATTCATACTGTTAATAAAAGTTCAAAGTTTAATATAAGTAAATTTGTCATCGTACTGTTTTATTGTATAGCCTTTTGTATTATTATTAATAATAATAATGAGCCACCAACTAAGCATTCGTTTGAAGTAAGGGGAAAATCCAAAAACCTTTTATTTATTTGTTACAACGCGGGTATGTCTTATTCGTTCTGTTAATAATAGTTTTATGTTTAATATAAGCTACTTTGTCATTGTAGTAGGCTATTGCTGTGTGTGGGATTTTTTTTTTTCATTAAGAGTAATACTGAATCAACCTTAAGCATTAATTTTGTTCCAAGAATATGAAAGATCTAACGTTAAATATCAAAATATGCGCTGTAGAAGCGAGAATGTTATTATTATTGGTTGCTGCTGAGGTAATAGACGCTCTCGGTCTTTCTCGGTTGTATCTTCGCAGTGGCTGTAGAAATGGTAGCTAATTCTTGATTTGGGTCCAGCACAGACATGTCACAGGTAATAATATGATCAAAAAGTCATGGCAACAAACGACTTCCTAAGTCAGTTTAAGTTGAAATGACTTTCACAATCAATTTGATTAAACTTAATTCATGTTTGACTGTTGCTTATTGTCACTGTAGGCTTAGGCTATTTTTTTTCTATGAATTTTAATGAATATACAAATTAATAAAATTGGTTTTATTTATTTTTTGTTACAAAATGTTCATTTATTTATTTTTAACGCCGCAGCCCCAGCCCCCCCATTTTTTCTTGGGCTACACGCCAGGGGGTGCTGCAGCACCCTCAGCACCCCTACTTCCCGCGGTAATGGAAACAGGCTTCTATTTATCACTGTTAAAAATCGTACTTGTTGTACCGGTTTAAACTAGTGCTTGTATCTCTTAACTCGTTACACAATGTTTTGATGTTACCATCTACATTAGTTAGTTGTTGTTCTGTTTCACTGGTTTCTTTTCGACAAAGAAACAACGGGCTTTAGCGGTGTTGGCACGTTGCGTACAATCTAATTAGTGCAAAAAAACCAAGGCACATATGTGTGCTGAGTGTACATCTTATGCGCAATTAGAAAACTCCTAAATATGTGCATACTATGCGAATGATGAAATTTGCATCAAGTGCACTACTCGTAAGCATACTTTGGGCTTCATCGCTTTTCACACCTAACGCAACACGTATTTCAACAAACATACCTGTTTGAGTGCATTGCGCGCGATGGTCTGGAAAGCCTGCTCTACATTGATGGCCTCCTTTGCACTGGTCTCAAAGTTCATTTTGTTAATAAAAGTTAGATGTTTAATATAGGCCTATGCGAATTTGCCATTGTACTATTTTATGGCTGATGTGTTTTATTAATAGGATAATGAACCACAAACTACAATCGTTTTACACTTAAAGAAAGGGGAAATCCAAAGACTGTTTATTTGTGTTACAATGCGGGTAAAACATATTTTCCTTATTCATATTGTTAATAAAAGTTCAAAGTTTAATATAAGTGAATTTGTCATTGTGTTGTTTATTATATAGCCTTTTATTATTGTTATTATTATTAATAATAATGAGCCACAAACTAAGCATTCGTTTGAAGTAAGGGGAAAATCCAAAAACCTTTTATTTATTTGTTACAACACGGGTATGTCTTATTCGTTCTGTTAATAATAGTTTTATGTTTAATATAAGCTACTTTGTCATTGTAGTAGGCTATTGCTGTGTGTGGGATTTTTTTTTTTCATTAAGAGTAATACTGAATCAACCTTAAGCATTAATTTTGTTCCAAGAATAGGTCTAACGTTAAATATCAAAATAAGCGCTGCAGAAGCGAGAATGTGAGATTGTTATTATTATTGGTTGCTGCTGAGGTAATAGACGCTCTCGGTCTTTCTCGGTTGTATCTTCGCAGTGGCTGTAGAAATGGTAGCTAATTCTTGATTTGGGTCCAGCACAGACATGTCACAGGTAATAATATGATCAAAAAGTCATGGCAACAAACGACTTCCTAAGTCAGTTTAAGTTGAAATGACTTTCACAATCACTTTGATTAAACTTAATTCATGTTTTACTGTTGCTTATTGTCACTGTAGGCTTAGGCTATTTTTTTTCTATGAATTTTAATGAATATACAAATTAATAAAATTGGTTTTATTTATTTTTTGTTACAAAATGTTCATTTATTTATTTTTAACACCGCAGCCCCAGCCCCCCCATTTTTTCTTGGGCTACACGCCAGGGGGTGCTGCAGCACCCTCAGCACCCCTACTTCCCGCGGTAATGGAAACAGGCTTCTATTTATCACTGTTAAAAATCGTACTTGTTGTACCGGTTTAAACTAGTGCTTGTATCTCTTAACTCGTTACACAATGTTTTGATGTTACCATCTACATTAGTTAGTTGTTGTTCTGTTTCACTGGTTTCTTTTCGACAAAGAAACAACGGGCTTTAGCGGTGTTGGCACGTTGCGTACAATCTAATTAGTGCAAAAAAACCAAGGCACATATGTGTGCTGAGTGTACATCTTATGCGCAATTAGAAAACTCCTAAATATGTGCATACTATGCGAATGATGAAATTTGCATCAAGTGCACTACTCGTAAGCATACTTTGGGCTTCATCGCTTTTCACACCTAACGCAACACATATTTCAACAAACATACCTGTTTGAGTGCATTGCGCGCGATGGTCTGGAAAGCCTGCTCTACATTGATGGCCTCCTTTGCACTGGTCTCAAAATACGGGATGTTGTTCTTACTTTGACACCAAGCCTGTGCCCGCTTGGTTGTTACCTGAGGGTGAAAATGTATCACAGAGACTGTGATTAAGGTCATAGGTGCATGATTATATTCAACATGAGAAAAAGTGTGTTTGCAAAAGTCTCCACCTTGACACTAGGCGATATGGCTCAGGCTCAGGTAAATTCTTTCCGGCAATTTATCTTTCCGGGAATGAGAAGTTGTAACATTACCAGTAAATTACCAGTAATGTGGTCTGTGTGAACGCAGAACGAGATTACTGGTATGAACCAAGGTTATTTTCGTAAACGAAAACTAAAACGATTGATGAAAAAACAATTTCGTAAACTGAAATAAAATAAAAACGTCAAAATAATTGAAAAACTAAAACGAAACGAAACTAACAACAGTTATTGAAAAACTAACTGAAATAAAATAATAATTATCAAAAAAAAAAGTTTTCATAATCATTACGTTCTCACCCCCTTGGCGGAAAAATATACGAGCTGTGTGGATGTTTAGGGAAATAGCCTACCTGTAATGGCGCATCACGCACATGGGGTTATCTGACGGAGAGACGCAAAGCATTTTAAAGTCTGCACGGGTCCTGTTTGGTAAACGTGCGCCAGCAGTACTTAACAGAACACCTGACCCATTATCTGACAGCAGTGCTAATTTAATTCTGTACCAGATGAGAACCGTTTGACATAAAGACCGCGAGTCACAACCCGAACCGCACTCGCAATAAATCTATTACATCAGGTAAGCAAGATTATTTATCTTATCATGTAACACAAGCAATCAAACCAACATTAGGCATTCTAAGATGGTGCTTTGACGAAAAAGACATGCAGCGCAACATGATAATTAACAGAAAAAAAGACATCCTTTCTGTAAACAACACAAAACTTTTGCCTAGCATCTTGTGGTCACTCTGCCAGGCTTTTGAACAAATGTGCATTGGCTAAATCGCATCATACACACGCTTATAATTCTTCATAAATATGAAAAGAACATTCAAATATAAGCCTTTACTTGTTAAATGCGATTGCCGTTATTATTGAATTTCATTAGTCCCAGTTTTGATTGATGCATGGCTGTTCACGGAAAAGTGAGCAAGACACCACAGTTACAATATCATGATTATGGTTAAATAAGAAAAGACATAACCAAATCAGGCTACATTTATTTTCATACTAAATATCTCAACACATCATTGGATATGACATCAAGCGCAACTTCTGTAGATTAATTTAGTAAAAAAACTAAAAACTTGCCTGCTTTCTTTGGCGTATATTTGTATACTTTTACTATCTAATCAATCTCAGCATGCGTTAATTTTGTGTCGCTAGACGTTTGCCTCACTATAAGGCTAAATTATGCCTACGTCTTTCTTTGGCCTGCGCTCTGGAAGTGATCTGTTAAACTTTAATTAAAACTGAAACTAAACAAAAAAATGCGTTCACAAAATAAAAACTAAACTAAAACTAACAAAATATGAATGAAACTAATAAAAACTCAACTGAATTTTATAGAAAATTTGAAAACGATATTAAAATAAAACGAATAAAAAAATTCTAAACTATAATAACCTTGGTATGAACATATACAAGTTCAGAACACGCTGAAATAAGACGTCTACTCTGGGCCAATCACAACATTCTGACGCAGATGACGCATTTACTCCACACACTGTGTAGTTTGGTTCGAAGTTATCTAATAAGATGTCTCTGGGCCAAAAGCAGCTGCATAAATGTGAATGTTTAAACATCAACAAAAACACTGACCGCGTATACCGCTCCATGTTTACAAACACAACACTGAGATACAGCCGTTAAGAGGTCATTTCTGGTTAATGATGTAACAGAATTTACCGGTATTTTGAAACTGATGTGTGAATGGTGCTTTACCGGTAAACTGTGTGAACTGTGCATTTTTGTATTTACCGGTAAAATCGTTCCGGTAATTTTATGGCAATTTACTGGTATTACTGTGTGATGGGACTTATGACTTAAAAACACCTTTTACATGATGAGCATGTTTTAATTTATTTTATTTTCAAAATTGTCAGGGTAATACAATGGTTTCGATACGTGACCCTGGACCACAAAACCAGTCTTAAAGGCACAATATGTAAGATTTTTTTATTAAAATATCCAAAAACCACTAGAACAGTGTTATATATTTTGCTGACTTGTGTACTTACAGTATCCCAAATGTTTCGAAGAATGTTTAAATCCTCTTACCGTAAATATATCAAAACTTAATTTTTGATTAGTAATATGCATTGCTAAGAACTTCATTTGGAAAACTTTAAACGCTATTTTATCAATATTTTGATTTATTTGCACCCTCAGATTCTAAATTTTCAAATAGCTTCTCAGCAAAATATTGTCCTATCCTAACAAACCATACAACAATGGAAAGC